GACATCCTTCAGTTACTGCAAACTGATTAATTCACACAAATTGATAATTTTACTGAGTTTACTAAAAGTCCTAAAAAGTCACTAACTCCATCTTACAGTTGATGAATACAGCGAATGCACGGGAGTTTTCTTTCACATGAAAACATGTTCTATTGCCCATGTATTAAGCAGAGGGAAAATTACTGAAACTGTCATATCTTTACAAATAGGTCCATACCCATTTTTTTTTTTTTTATTACTTTGCAAAATGAAGTTCCAGATGTATTGTTCCATTATTTTGAAATTGAAAAAAAAAATTTGTTTCAAATTGAACAGGTCATGAATTACTTTATATATTATCGCATACATCTCTAAAATTGTGCCTGCGACCCCAATTTTGTTTTTTCCACATATGACCAATAAGCAATTTGCCTGCCAGCATTCTGGTGCAACATTTTGCCCGTTTTTAGTTGACTTGGGCACTCAAAGGACAACTAGTGAAAAGTTCATTGCTACACAATTTGCATGTAGCTTTGTCTTGTGAAATTAAAACGGTTTACAGACTCTTGCTAGACTGGTACATAATACGACAGCATCATGTAAACTAATCTCACTTTGACAGTACAAGTACAATGGAGCAAAACACAGTAAGGCTCCATTCAATTCAATTTAGTTCAGGTCAGGTCAGTTCAGTGCAGTTCAATTCAGTTTACAATGAAGGATATCCTCGTCTCAAATGTCTACTACATTTCAAAATGAAAATATAAACTTGTTACTATTTACATATGAAAACATCTACACTTTGTTGAAACCATTAGATAGCTCTAATCACCATTTGGCGAACACAGGTCAACAAGATGCAGTGTTTTTTTTTTATTTTCACTGTTCAAGATAAATTAAAAAGAAATGACAAGAATATATATATATATATCTCCTTTGATAATCTACAAAAATATCACAGACTTTACATTATAGTGTTTTTTTGCATTTTTTTTTTATAATTCCGTTTAAGAAATATTATTTCTGATCATCATTCCTATATAATGATCTAATCTTGGGATTGATATGCTACAATAAAAACGTTTTAAACCAGAATTTGAAATATTTTTCCTTGACCAACCCAATTGTTTAATGTACAATATATTGACAATTTGCTTAGTTACATACAATATGTATAACGTTATTGCATAAAATACGTGGATTGTCGGCGCAATCATTTAACAATACTTTTCTTTGATGTCTTCTTTGCATTTGTTTTGCATAGAACTTAATCCACGCAGCCAAAGGCTAGTGAATTTGGTCCATATTAATTGCATATCGAATGTATATGCTGGAAGAAATCTAATCTTTCATAAAAATGCAACAACTTTAAAAAACATTGTTTATCACCTTACAAGACAGGATCTTTTCTATTTCTTAAGTGAAAATGGATACCAATGCAATCTTTAATCTCACTCCAATCCCACAGTGACTACCTAGTGACTTCTGGCATGCATGAATTGGAATTCTGAAAACAAAACTGAGTAATAATGCCTTCTAGCATCATTCAAATAACATACGTGGAAATTTCGGCCCACGAGGAAAAAAAGCTGCATTACTTCATAACAATATTTCCATGCCAAGAGGTCAAGAAAAAACATTTCTTTTTTTTTCTATCATCCATACTACCTATGATGCAAAATAAACTAATGAACATTTATGGTGAACTTGAAAAGAAAAGTTTTATAATCAATGTGATTCAAGGGGGAAAAAATTTAATATATCGCTTATTTGCGAAAATTGCACATAAACTAGTACACATGTACGTCAAATTACTGACAACAATAACTTCAAAGACACAAATAGAATGTGTCAAGCTCAATATATCTCTCAAATATAAGTTAAAATGGAAGTTTCAAAAAACTGTAAATACTCGGAACAACGTTTACATTCTACAAGTTGATTGCACATTTTCTCAATAAATAAATGATTTAATATTTACAAATACATTGTTAATAATGAACAGAGGGTAAATACAATTAAAACCTAACTTAATCTGCAGTCTCTTTAGATCACAGGTTCTAATCTTCATTGAATTCTCAGATTTGACAATGGAAAGCAAGGACTGCAACAGAGCCAAAATGCTACCCAAGAGGCAACAGGTCTTTGACCAACTCTGACTAAACTTTAAAAGGAAATACACTAAAATGAAAAATAAGCCGTTAATTTCAGGCAAAGGTTAAATATTATTTTTACAGTCAACAGGATGACTTCTGATCTTTTGAACCTGTCTCCTTCTTTTTAAATAGTAGTCAGTAATAATTTCAGTTTTTGTTTTATTAAGTACCATTGAGGGAGACTCTTAAACCATATATGGCCTGAAATTGACCCCTTGACTTTTCAAATTTCAGTTTTATAATAAATAACCAATATTATGAAACCTTAAATGTACAGTAAAATTTAAATAGGAATATGTGATATGAAATGCCAAGTATGGCTGGCAGTGTTAAAAACCTTATTTTCTAGCATGCATAACACCCACGACTCACTATATTTGCATATTAAATAATTCAGAATTGAACCAGTACACCTGTAAATTGCTTGCGGTCACTCACTCAAACACGTCTGTACACAACCAATAATACTCAAAGCTGAAATGACAATTTATCTTACACACAGTCAGTCCCGTAATTTTAACAATTCTATTTTCAAAGATTTGGGTACATTGTGTCATTTCAACTTTCACTTGATGGAAAATCATTTTTTTTTTTTTAATGCATAATATTTCAGAAAAATGTACTTGTATGCTAAAGTTGACTTCTGTTGGCATTACCGGTATCTATTATCCGTTTAGTCCCAACAAGTATGCTGAAATGAATCGATTGGCTGATTCTATTTATTCAATTTAAATATTTTCAGCTTTATCCATTTAAGTATGCAATGTTTTGATTTAAAACATTTGAGAACTGTCTTTATTACGACACCGAATCTGAAAAACTTGTCTAATTTAATGTTACCCATGGCAATAGCCTTTCAATAGCGTAACACACAATTTTCTTTTGCTCTCCAATACTGCAATCTGAACATTACTGAGACTGAAAATAAGGTCATTTTGTTTCCTCCTTACTTATACACAATATATTTTGTTAAAACTTGCGTAATACCAGTATATGGTTGCAGAGACGTGAAGGTGTTGACAAACTAAAGCATTAAAAATAACACCACTATTGCACAAAACAAAGTCTGAAAACGACGAGAAATGTACTCAACTGAAAAGCATGAATGCCTGAACACCTAAGCTTTGTCTCTTCTGTATAAGTGATTTTTTTTTTTAAAAAACAAAAATGTATCCCAGTAAATGGAGTAATTCTTAGATCCTGATTTGAATTTTTGAACTAAAACCTTGTCAACAGCTGCTACAGTTTTCATCTTTGGATTAAGACATCTTGTCAATGTGTATTTGTCCAGATTCAGTGTACATTTTTATGTTTCTAAGAAATTTTAGCAAATTTTGTTTCTACAACTGTATTAAAACAATCGATCTGAAAGTATTTAATACTTATGAGGGGAAAAAAGAATGATGTTTTTCTTTTTTCTGTAAATTTTGTTTATGTTATAGCAGCTTAGGAACACATTCAATCATTATTCGAAACACAATATTTGTCGTTTTATCGATTTAAACAGAGAAAAGGTATCTATAATACTTGATTTGAGAAAGGAAGATTAAATATTACTTGATCTGATACAAACAAAGTTCGGGTGGGATGTTTTAGAGAAAGATGGTAGTTGATTGGAGAAACAATACTGAATTATCGAGGGGAGGGACAGTCTTTACCTCACATACTGCACCATTCTTCTCAAAGTTTAACGAGGACAGCTAAGATAATAGATAGATAGAACATCACTGCAACTATTAACAATAACTCACTGGAATTACCTATTTTGGTGAATGCAAGATATTCATATAACAGAATGTGACTACATGGTTTCAAAGAAGACTATTAAGCAAATACTACTGGTAGGTTCTAACACAGCATGACTACCGCATCATAGCTAACCCTATAAAGTTAAATACTCTTCACCAAAAAGGGGACAGATTAAAACTACTAGAGTCTTGCATATGGAAAGATTTCACCTCCCAGTAACTAATTAATCCCATTAAAAACTTACAATTTAATTTTTAAAATTTGCATCATGCAGGATTTTTCGTAAATATTTAAATGAAATGCGCAGAAAATTGCTAACGAAGGAACAGACATGCGAGTATGTATATAATCTATGCAATTTCAAAAGTTTTATCACTACATAAATAATCTTGTAAATTTGGTTGTCAAAAAATGGCAAGAACAAAAAATAGAATAAATATTTCTGATAAATTTTTGTGACAGCTTCAGGAAGTAGCATCCTCATCTGAATTAGTGGCAAGATCTAATATCAATTAGTGGAAAGATTCTAATTACTGAATTCAATTACATGTCAGAGCTAAGCGCAAATAACAGTGCACTTACTCCCTGAGATGCTAAAAATAACACAAGTGACCTAAACAGTACAGGTCTCAATAGTGCTGATATGCTCAACTAGCTACTGTATATGAACTACATAGTAAATTTACAACTTGAACCAGACTCCTTAGAGTACTGAGAATTTATACACAAACTCCCTAGTAATACAGCAATACGTGCATGTACTAAATATATATGCATAATAACAATAAATATTATCTTTGGTCCCTTTTTTGTGAGAAATACATTGTACCCTGCCATTACAATAAAGTTTCAAAGCTATATTCAAACTAAAATTCTTACATTTGATCTTGGTCCCATGGATTGAACAAGAAGACTTAATACCCTTGAAAAGTGCTAGGGAACCTTACAAAGTAATTGCATGTATTTTCCTAATACACTTCAGGAATATAATGAAGACATTGCACTTATTGACCACACTTGCATGTACTTTTCCTATACATCATGTATATAAGACTATTACACATAAACACGCAGTAAATTTATTTCCTGGATTTGTGAACATCAATCTTCGGGGGTGTTGCATTTGACATTATGCTGTCAAGTATTCCATGTGCTCCATCCACTACATGACACCGATGACAGCATTCTTCTACCTCAGACACTTCTGGTGCCGGATACGTTTTAACTGGAGTTCAATCTACAATATCTGGGAGACATTTCTCGTAAAGACACAAGGCTTGGTGGATGAACTCGTACTGTTCATTTGTTTGTATCATTCCACCTCTGAAATAGAAAAAAAAGCACATGTCATGTAATGACAAGAAATTCATGATGATTCTGGAAATATCAGAGCATTGCTACAGCCATTATCCCTCATTTTGGCCCATGCAAACAGGAGAAAATTGCTTTCATGGATTTTAACGTTTTTCTGTTTTTGACTCCTGTGTGCAGATTACACAATGGGAGTCTTTGCAGTTACCCTGTTTGTGTGTGTTTATGTCTATTCCACAATTATCTCAAGGTTTGTGAAATGTCGGCAGCATACATGTACTATGATGGTACACGTGTAAACAACACTGCCAAAATAACTTGTGTCAACTTTTTCAGATTCATTTGTTTTTATGTGGATACCACAGCATGTGGATGACGGTAGCCAGTCACAACACCCAACTATACACTCACTGTGCTCAGTAAAAAGTGTGTCAATTCACAACACAATACATCAATTTGTATTCTCTTAGTGCAACCATCAATCACAATCTTACTCATTTGGTTATGTTTGTATGCATGCATCTTAGTTCAAATGATTGAGCCTACCTATCAAGCCTCATTAGACATACAATTCCTAGTATATCCACCATGCTTTCTTCTATAAGTTGCAGCACTCCTATACTGATAGCAATAAAACAGCCAGTTCTACCCAAACCAGCACTGTGTAAGGAAACGAGAACAACACTTGAAATTGAACAACAAAGATTTTAGTGAAAAGTTAAACACATTAGACACTGATGCAATGTATATAAGTGTACCTAAATTACTGTCAAGATGGTGATTGGCTAAAGCACCAGTCGATCATCATACAGCGCTAATTTTGGCAGGAGTTCTTTAGGGCCCCTCACCCATAGCTCTAATCTTAACCATGCTTCTTCAATGACCCTCTCCTATATCAATTGTATATACCCTTCTTTGGGACACTTGTAGTTATTTGGAAGGACATATTGAATTACATTGGGGGGGCTGGAGTGTTAGGGGTGAGGGACCTTAAGGAATTCTTTTCCTAAAACTGTACCGCTACCAATAGTAGTAGTGATTTAGAGTAAACCCAACAGTACATGTGAATACTCACAATAAGGCCAAAAAAAAAAAAACTTATGTTGCCCTCAAATCGAATAATTTTGTCGGTCGGTCGGATTTTTTTTTTTTTTTTTAAATTTGGGAAAACTAAGAGTATCGTAAATAGCCAAGGTATATGGACTTCATAGTATTCGGAACATGTCAGAGAAATACAGATCAACCCGAGGTTCAAAGTCGCCACTTATGGGGACTCTGGGGATCAAACAATGGTCCGGGATCGTTAATTTTTAGAGGAAACACTTTATTACTGCTTAAAATAGCGAGTTTTTAATATTTGGGCCTATTTAAAAAAAAAACAAAAAAAAACACAACCCGATATTTTATATTTTTCAGTCGGTCGCTGAGGCCAACAAAACAATTTTTTTTTTTTGGCCTAAAGGATGTAAATCTTATACCGCATAACAGTGTGGCTACAAAGTGGCTGTGATGCAGTGATTCGTACTTGAAACACTTACCTGCAGTGTACAACCACTGGTCCTATTGCCTCGTCCTCATCGTCATCTCTTCGATGTCTTTCCACATCTTCTACAAGTTCCAGCAACTGTTTGGCAGTGTCTGGCGTTTTATGATCTGGCCAAGCAGTGTACCAGTAATGCTTGACATGCCTAACTTCATCTAAGTACTACATTAGAAGAATTACAAATTGTTAATCTCACTGTATGATGATACATTGTACTCAGAAAAATCATCTGCATATTGGGTCATGTAACAGCCACTCACTAACACCACAGCAGGCATTAGGACACATACAACGACGTTTGACGTTTAACGACGTTTGACGTTTGACGTTTAAGCACAAAATAATCAAAAGTACATAGAGCTTTCGGTTAGCACAATGTATTTTTCCACCTTCAAACTTTAACGGGTGGTTGTTGTTGCAGAGTGAGTGTTCGAATTTCATACAATCAAAATAGGTATTTTAAATGTACTGCGTACATCGCTACGGATCTCAAGTTGAACACAATATGGTGTGACAACCAACACTTTAAATGAAATCCAAGAAGGCCACACCACCATAGACAGACTATATCATACTATGAGGTAAAAACAATGGTACTTACCTTAAGCGTCATAATTCTAAGTATATAGCCATCTTTTCTAATAATATTATCTACACAAATTTCTATATCCCCATAAATACCCTGTGTGTGGGGCCAATAATGCTCACACTTCACCTACAAAAGATGATAGGAAATATTGAACAATGTATACCATGTTTGCTCTATTCATAGAGCATATGTGCTTTTTATAAATGACAGGTGTGACTGTGGTCAAAATAAGTGAATTTTAATGATCCAGGCAACAGTAAATGTACTATACCATAGTTAGTAATACGCTGTATTTGCAACCATTTTCTATACATTTTGACTTTAACTGAAATCATTTAATAATTCTATCTACTGGAAAAATGAATTGAGTCAACAAAACCAAACACTATATAGTAATGAACATGTAGGCGTTATAGTCAGTTTATGGCATTTTTTAAAATTAATCTGGACAAGAAAGCAAACAGTTGATTCGCTGTACCTTCCCAACAACCTTACCTTATTCCTTTCTTTGAGCTTTGTAATCATAACAATAATTGGTGCATTGGTAAACCATATCATCCTCCAAAAATCATTAATAGTATGGGCCATTGGACCTTGCGTGGCTATGAATGCGCTCTCTTCCTGCTCATAGCCCTGCAAACAAACATAAAAGAGGCGATTATAGCAATTGTTATATGGTTCATCATGAATAAAGGAAGTGACACATATTACGTTGTGAGACATTATTAGTATACTCATCATATGTGTATATGTAGTAATACTGCACATATGCTCTAGATCTATGGTTCTGGTTGCGTATTATCAAAAGATAATATTTTCAGAAATCTTACAAGACTGTTTCTTATAGGCTACCCAATTTTAACACTTAATTATTCAGCCAATCTAGGAATGTAAACCGTGTTTCACTGCTGATATTATGAGGTTATTACGAGGATACCTCAAAGTATGCACAAAGACAGTACAACGTGCAGCAGAGGTCGATGTGACAGCGTACTGTCTGATTGCACACTGTGAGGTATCCTCGTAATAACCTTATTATTATACATCTTTTCCTTCCAAGGATACATCATGGGAATGCCGAAATCCAAAAAGTTTAGAACAGACTCAGCAAACTTCTTTGAGTGGAGTCCGGTCAAACCCTAGTGGCACCCATGTTTGTTTTTATTATTAGAGGACACTTATGCAAGTAATCATCCCATATTTGGAGTTCGCATTTCCTTATAGGGTAGAATGAAAATACCCCGTAAAATACCGCAAAATCGCGGCACGCTGTAACTTACGATGTTACGGTGACAGATATATAATAATAATGAATAATTTCCATGTGGTTTATACGATGAATCAACACTACTATACATGTACCATTACATGCCAATATGTGTATTCAAATACTTAATACTTACACGTATATAGTTTGCATTTATATACGTTGACAGAGGATCACTGTTGATCTCTGGTAATATAACTCTAGTATGCAAATTAGGTAATATAGTACGATATCTGTTTTTAGTTCCTGACCCTGGTACATCTATGGCTTCGGGGTGATTCATTGGAATATCCTGAAAAAGCAAATTAAGTTATTAAATATTATCGATAGTTGACGAATCGTCACCGTAAACTGCTTTAATATTGTGAGAGACACATTTTCGCAAATTTGTAGCATTAATAATTTCTCTAGTCTCAAATGATCCAATGTCATCAAAAATTAAAGAATTTGGTTATAGTGCTGTGTCTGTCTTTACAGAATTTAGTGATGCAGAAACTAAGCAATAATTCTTGGAAAAAAGAATGTGTGTGTTTTGAAAATTAATACTATACATACCCAGAATTCCTCATGTAGAGCTCGTACATTTTTTAAAGAATTTCTTAATTGTTTTCTAGTCATTCTGTTACCGGCTGATGACAAGTACTCCTCACTAGAACTGAAACAGAAAATCATGAAATTTAATTAAATATAGCTGATGTTTTTCTACCACTATCCGTCACTTTAGCATTTGGGAAATGCTTCATTCCTGGAAACTTGCACTGTGGTGTCCATGGGCGCAGCATGGTGATTTAATCAACATGTGCACGTAACAGGACAAACAGCGATCATTGCGCTAATTCTTTCCCTCATTCGGAATCCTATGCAACTTGCATTCTAGCTGTTGTGAACAGTTCAGGTCAAATTATTTTTTTTTAGTGGTTTTTGTCACTACATACTGTATATACCAAACATAATGGCTATCTGTAAAGGCAGGTAGCAGTTGATGTGTGGAAATGCCTGGAAGTATACAACAAGCATGGAAACTGAATGAATAATTACCTTTCCTTGGGAGGCGTTCCATAATGTATTCCCCCAGTGGCACCACCTCTTCCGTTCAAATCAATCGTCAGTGATGCATTCGATCCTCTCCTAGAAAAAATAAAAAGGCTTTTCATTTCAACTTGTTGTACGTACCCTTTAGTAAATTGTACATTTTTGTACAAGATTTATAATATATATTTACAACTTGGTTACGAGGCACCCAACTTTTTTCCTTTCAAAATCTTATTGCAATTATTATCAGAATGCCTAATGAATGCATTTTAGTAATTAAAAAAAAAGACCGGTTTTGAATACTTATTAAGCTGGGTACATTTTTCCAATAACGTCAGTATAAGTACAGTCGATTTGAATTTTTAGAAAATTAAACTTTGTGATTATAAATAAATTTTCAATTTTTTTGTTTTAATTGTTCTATAAAAATAAGCTCTGCTTGTGAAACTATTACATTGTTGCTTATTTTGAGTCTAATTGTAGTTTTAAAACCTGTAGACTCATGTCTGCATGAATCCCTTCAGAGTATGTATAGCGCCACCAAGTGTGCTTCACTGACAACAAATCAGCTTTTTGTCAGTCAGAATTTACTCTTCATTTACGGCAAGAGGTAAAAATTTCTTAAATTTGCAAGACATTTAGTAGTAAACTGTACAATTCATGTAACATTTTCTTAAGTAAGCTTAATATACAACGTGTTTACTTTTATATTTTTTTTCTTTTCTTTATTTGTCTTGGATACAAGTTCAATAATTATTATTATTACAACAACATAATAGAATCATTAGTAAGCAAGACGTGAAATGACAAGCAACACAGCGCAGTGTTAATTTTGATGATTTCCTGAAAACAATTAATTCTTACTCGTTTTGTTAAAGCATTTACAAGACATCAAGAATGCTGCTCAGGTTCAAGTACACTATACACAACAGTCATGTATGCAAAACTTGCATTATCAGCACCACGTCTGAGCATCTTACCTTTCCAGTAAACCTGGTGCTTTAATGATTTTGATTGGTTGACTTCTTGCTACAGGTGCATATATCTGACCAGGTTCGGGTTGAACCATTCTTCCAGTCTTCAGCTCGGGTTTAATAGGGGGATAGAAACACACATGGGTCAACTCCTTCTCGGCTTTCTTTCGTCTTCTACGTCTGATACAACAGTAGCATGTCTAAGGAATGGTGCAAACCAACAGTATGATTAATGACTCACAGTAAAGGGTTAGCCAAGGATGTCACTTTTGCACCTACCCATGCATCTCAGAACAATTTCTCTGACAAGGAGAAAACTAACAAGCATACAGGGCCCAATTACTTAATTGAGACTGTGCCCTAGAGTAGTAATATGTCTGAAACTACCCCCAAGAATGAATTTGCAGACACCATTAGATAGTGCTCTGTATGTTAAAGGACTTGTTATTATAATGGTGACTGTACTAGACCGACTTGATGCCCATGATGGCCTTTCTATTACTAGGGTCAAGTTCAACTTGCCGCTGATAGAGTTTCTGAATAATCAAATTAGAGAATGAATTTTGTAAATTTAGACTACTATGTAAATAGGTAAACTATGCTTCATTAATTATCTGTAGAAAGGTATACTTTTTAAAGCACACTCAGTTTAACTTTCAATAATTGCTAATCACCAGTTTCATGTCTTTTTTTTTTACATGGAAATCAAATCAACAGATCATACTCCACTTCATGATTGCATTAAAAAAAATACATATGGTAAGTTTTCGCCAATATTCAAGAACTCAGAGATTACATCCGTACGACCAGCATTCTGATTGTTCAATAACACCTGAACTTGCAAGTCAAAGTATGCTGTTTCATGCAAATCATGCAGGTATACAGCATGGCGAAAATTACTTCGCATCAAGAGTTTGCATGAAATCCAAAACTAATTTGATAACTAAGATAATGATGAGGCTCTCGACTTTTTTCCCCACAGACTCGATTAATTATTACATTATGAATTTTCGTGGTACATTAATAAATCTGTAAAAATGAAGTTTTTTTTATTTTCTATAATATAATAATTTTAATAAATAATTAATACTGTGGAATACTTTATTTTCGCTGGAATTAATTTTCGCTGAAAAGTCTTTTTGGGTGTTTGCTTGGAATTTATTTTCACTGAGTTTTGATGAGTTTAATGTGAAATATAGGAAAAAAAAGTATATTCGCTGGATTTTATTTTCACGGAATCATCCCTTCAGCGAAAATAGCGAAAATAAATTCCAAGCGAAAATAAAGTAATCTACAGTATATAATTTTCTGAAAGGGGGGGGGGGGATTGTCCAAGTCCCAACTTCTTAAAAAAAAAAAGATTTTTGTAGCTAAATACTTATTGTCACATACCGTAACATTTAGTTTTTGTTGCTATCAAGTTTCACTATATGAAAATTTGTGGGATAAAATTTTGCTAAAGAAACTGTAATTGTAAACTCAGATCCAAATGAAATAAAGCGAAAAAACATATCAAGAATACATAAGATTGCACATTGGCAACATGATCTGATAAACACATGCAGAGGCTTTTATAACAATTTAAATACACTCACCACTGCTACAAGTAGAACAAACACGGCAGCTGCAGCCCCAATAATATATGGGAAATAACTGGTTTCATAGAAAGGAACATCTGTATAATCCACAGAATACACCTGCTGAAGTAAATATGAAAATAAGGTCACTTTAATATATTGCATGCCAGTGAATGGATGCTGTCTATAGGCAGGCATCAGAGCTTGAGTTTGTAATCAAATTACTGTAAAATACATTATTTTCGTTTGAAATTAATTTTCTATTTTCACTGAAGGAATGATTCAGTGAGAATAAAATCCAGCAAATATACTTTTTTTCCTATATTTTACATTCAACTCATCAAAAATCAGTGAAAATAAATTCCATACAAAACAACCAATAAATCTTTTCAGTGAAAAATTATTCCAGCTAAAATAAATTATTTTACAGTAGTATGAATGCATGGAGACTGGTCTTTCAAAAACAACTCCAGAAACAGCGTTCACACATTAGGTGTTAAACCTAACACTGGTATTCTCATCAACCCACTTTTATAGCTGAAAAGGAACTTGATAGTGCTACACATTTGTGGGAACACTAGCAATGGTTTCTGGGTAAACACAAAGTAACCCAAAAGATGTTGTAATACTACGGTATCCACTCTCATGACATTAATTTACAGTTGTAGACGTATAGTCTAGAGATAAAGGCTGAGACAAATTATTTATGATACGATTACAAGTTTTAATATAATAAAGACCCTTCCTCTCTTCCCAACCCTTCTATTCTCTGAATACGCTATTTACATTTATGAATGAATGAATAAACATTTCAATGAAATACATTTTGTACAGATGGATACAAACTGAAAATTCCTATACCTATGCATACTATCCAGATACAATGAACATACCGGTAACGCTCAACGATAGACCCTTCACAATTAATTACATAAATTTAACATAAAATTCCTAATATATTGCATTTATTATCATTAACCTGTCAGCTGACATAAAAAACATGTCACAAAGAGCATATCACTTACATGCAATATGTTTGTTCACTGCGTATGAATTTAGAAAATACAAAGGCTTGTTGAAGGCTAGTGGTTGTTTTGATTGAGATGGAACTTTTTTTTTTCAAAAGAATACAAATATTAATTTCAAGCTCTTTTTATGTCTGACCTCATTAGTATGATTAAATATCAATTTGCATAACAATACATATTACAATATACCATAGTAACATGAAAATATACATAATTAGATAAATATACACACAAGATTAGCACAATATCCTCGGGGGCGGACATCCGGGCATTTTCACCGCTTGGCAACCCTCGCGGTGAAAACAAAGGTCAAAAACTCGCAGAAAACGATACTTTGGGATGGTTGTTGAGACTCCCCTGAACAGTGTAACAATATTAGCCCTACGTGTGTAACATATATAAATTTAGTTATTCAGGATTACTTCAAAGTTAAGTTTGTGTTGTTTTCTCGAATTTTCACCGGCTCAACCGGCGTTCCACGGCAGCGCACACAGAGCCCATAGAAATACATGTACAGTGGTGCGCGTCTTAACAACGTGGAACGTCTTGTGACGTAGCTCCGCCCCCGAGGATACATATATTAAGGCAATACAGTCATCCTTTAGAGCATGTTCGAATTTCATGTAAACAAACATCTCGCCATGGGTCCCATAATGAATGAACAGGACATGGTGTGACAACTGTAGCACTTCAACATACCATATTAATTAACATACCAACAGTATAATTATACATACCTGTGGATATACATCATGTATGGAAAAATCAGAAAGTAAACTATTAAGTTGGTCTAAATCTAATTCACTGACTACATCAGCAGCTGGTATTAGGTCACTTTCGCTATAACCGGTGTCATCACCGTCATTCGTACCAATAATATACATATCGTACACATTATCCTGCAATATGAACAGACATATTTGAAATTACATGTACATGTTGACATCACTAATTCATGCAAAGAAAAAAATATTTGCTGCCACCATGGCTAATATTATGTTTTCAATAGCTACCGGTAGTTACTAACATGTTTATACCCACTCAATAACATAACATTATGAAATATTACAGTATTCTCATATTTATGTAACAGAATTATTAAATACGTCTCCTAAAAGCATGTTTTTAAATGATGACTTGTTTCTCAGAAGAATTCTTGGTTTGGAATTGCTCTTTAAAAGTGAAGGACATGACTTAAAACAGTACCCTTGACCTGTTATACAATGTAATATCAAACCAAAAAAATAAAACATTTTTAACATAAATAACTATTGAAAAAATACTGAGTTTTGTTTTTAAATTTAGAAATATTGTACTTTTGTTTATAGAAAACATACAGAAATTGTGGCACACGGACAGTGAAGTACGTTTCATCTCTTCAAGTGATAGCAATAGCTAAGAGATACAAATAAGAGCACAGTGTAAAAAAAAAAAAAATACTAGACTACTCATAAGTAGACTGAGTGACTTGAATACTATTACGCCGTTCAATAACCTTTATCATATTCACTTACACTAACAAATAAATAAACCAATTAGGCTTCAGCTTATTAGGACTACTTGGTTTAATTATAACTACTGCAAATGTTCTAATTTAGGCTGATAAAAAAATATCTCTGTTTCTCGTTTCCATGCGCATCATTTTGAACTAAGCGCCTCAAACGTTTGTTTTTCCTTCTAAAGCATTCCAAAATGTGCTTTTACTCGCACTTGTCTCAAATTTCTCTTATTTTAGCTCAGTATTCAAAAAAAATAAAAAAATGTCTCGCCGCCTCATTTTAAAATTTCCATGAAACGAGTACCAGAGAATATTTTTTCCTCAATCAAAGGGAAAAAAGATATAATTATATGTTGACTGACATGATTCAGAGACAAGTTTTGAGATCAGAGTTTATATTTGAATGATGTCAAATAAATGCAACTGATACCACTGTAAAATCACTGTCATTATAATACATATTGCTTTGCATTTTGTATGAATCTATCACATAAAAACACATTAAATAGTAAACATATTAAATTGCTAGTCTTAATTGCTCTAATTAATATAACAGTTGCCAAATCAAAGAAATTCATCATTTGAAAGCCACTTTTTTCAAACCCAAGTTTTAGCGCATAATTTTTTTTATGACCTTTCTTTGTTTTTCGAAATGGACATAAATTCCCCTTCGCTATGATCAAAATCGCTGAAAAAATGAGGAAACATGTTATTTTGTGAATGTTGACAAGAGTTACATGCAACTTTGGTGTTCAAGCGATTAATTAATGTTTCCAACACTCAGCAAAATATATCAAAGAATATAGACCATACAGTATGTATGACACGTACAATCCATTACACAGAGGGATAGTTTTGACAGGGCCTTATGTTTTTAAAATCAGATAAATGACTAATACACAGCATAAATGCATTATCACTGTCTTATTGTTTGCTTCAATCGTTAATGGGAAGATTAATACCATTTGGACTATTGGACTACGATTGAATTATTGGCCAGGCTAAACAAACTAAGTTTGAATGGAACAGCAAATAAACTCGGAAATGTATTCCCTATCTTTTAATTTTTGCTATTTACACCAAAAGTGAAATTTCAATTCCAATACATGTTACAGCAAGTCTAAGAAGTATTGGGGCAGCCAATTTGCAAACTTGCTAGCGAATTGGCTAACTGCTTTGGTTTTGACTGAGCTGTTGGCTTTCGAATCTCGCTGGCGCCGTCGTGTGGTCACACCCACTCTGGGTGAATCTATATAACAGTAGGAGATGGTCATCATACTTTAGTTGGATGGCGATTTCGCTTTCAAATATACAAGGGACAGTGTTCTATTTTCTTTGTGTGACGAGGTGTTTGTATACAAGGGATTGTCCACGCAAAAACAATGAATGAAGTCGAATGTTATTAGCAGTTGGTTTAATGTTACCCCAAAGAATCATTTGGATGTGAAAATTTATTTTTCTCCCTGATTTATCGGGAACTGTTTCTCAATTTGTCTCTTTATTTACTTTCAATCAGTGTTCAAGATGGCTACCCCGATTTAGTAAATATCGGTGGATTAGTCACATTTATCATATTACCACTTGTACGCCAGCTGACTGTGGCCATTTTCAGGCTGACCAGGGAAACTACTTTCACATTATCACGCCTCGCAAAGCAAATCATTCAGGGCAGTCCAGACATGTACAAGGCTACATAAAAGCTTACTATAAAAAGTCCCCTAATGCAGTATAGACTTGCCAAGAGTGGACGACAACGATTCAACGCAAGCGAGATGGGAAAGCCAACTGTTTAATCAAAACCCAAGCAGTTACCCAATTCGCTAGCGAGTTTGCAAATTGGCTGCTCCAATACTTCTTAGACTTGCTGTAATGGTAGTTAACATTTAAGTTGATGTACCGGTACTTTAACAAAGTAATAATGCCAATTTGGGAAGTTTAAATTTTTGTTGCAGCCCTATCACAGGTTGTGTGCTGTCATGGCACATGTGTGTTACTGAAATCCTTCAGTTTTGTATAGAAATTCAATAGGGCAAAGACCTCCAGAACCTCAATGTACATACAGTAAACTACATGTTCTTTCAACTACAAACCAGCTGCTTAGCTCATTCAGTAGAATGGCTATGTATGCTCCCCAATCTGAAAGTCATGCTTATACATTGATCAATAAAGAAATTGTTATTAACCATGCTGAATAGAAATCACTGAAATAACAAAGACCTACCTGGTTGTTTAGTATAACTATATTGTTTTTTGAAACAGATAACTTGGAGGCTAAAACAGATAATAGCACTTCTTTTTGACTTTCATTCAAGACTTTGTTTCCACCAATTTCCTACAAGACAAAAGATTCCATTATAGAAATGTTAGAATAAAAAACATATGTAAATCTGTAATTTACAGCTTTCAAATGATAAGTTTCATTAAACAAGTACTGTAAAATACTTTATTTTCGCTTAGAATTAATTTTCGCTATATTCGCTGAAGGGATGATTCAGTGAAAATAAAATCAAGCGAATATAACTTTTTTCCTATATTTTACATTCAACTCATCAAAAATCAGTGAAAATAAATTCCATACAAAACATTCAAAAGTCTATTCAGTGAAAATTAATTCCAGCTAAAATAAAGTATTTTACAGTATAAAATTAATGTGCCAGTAATTAGTTTGCATTATGAAAAACAAGTAGCCTATCGGCTGAGATAGCTCCGCTGTTAGCAATGCACATTTCAATTAAAGAACTGAAGACATCATTAGAAAATGAACAATATGAATAGTATCAAAGCAATCGGACTTACAGTTTTTAACAAGAAGTCGAAAATATCACTTTTTACCAAAAATTACAAAAATATTCACCAAAATAAATAGAGAATTGAAGATATCATCACAAAACAAACAAATCTGAGAGAGGTCCACATGTAGTACCTATATATGTAATATCAAAGCAATCGGACTTGCGGTTTTCAACAAGTAGTTGAAAATATCACTTTTTACCAAAAATGACAAAAATATTCACCAAAATTAGAGAATTGAAGATATCAACATGAAATGAACAAACCTAAGAGAGGTCTACCCAAGGTACATATACACCAAGTATCAAAGCATTCAGGCTTGTAGTTTTCAAGAAGAAGTCGAAAAAGTAAAACAATGACACGGACGACGACGACGACGGACAATCACTCATATGATAAGCTCCGCTCGACAAAGTCGACAGCGGAGCTAAAAATGCATTTTAATACATATACATTTATAGCATGGTTCAACTCAACATTTTGATGATTTTAAGCTGGCTTACAGCTTACCATAGTTTGTTTTCAAAAAACTGACACATTGTAAAGGAAGTGTAAATTGTGTCTAATGTAACATAGTCAAACATTTCTGATAATAAATTAAAATTATTAATGACAATGATATTCACTTTAAAATTAACAAGTTTTAATGAAAAGAGTAAATGCAGCTGACAGTTAGCTTGGAAGTTAACCTTTACTGTACTGTACAATGCCTGACTAAACAGTACCAACTCTTTGCCGTCACCCTAATTTCCCTAAAGCATTCATATACTGGAATGCCTAACTCATTCTGTGTATCAATCCATCAAAATAGATACTGAATGATTTATTGGATACTTGTTATCGCTGAATGGAAAATATGAATTTTCTGACATATACATCCTGTATGTATATGGAGCACTCAGAATAATAAAGAAAAGACGGTAGTTTCATCTTGTAGAAAAGCAGCATTTGATACTTTCATGCTTGTTTGTCTTCACTGATATTATTTTAAATGGAATTTCTTGATAGGAATATTGAGAGAGATAAAGTCTTGAATTTAAAAAAACAAAGAATAATCTGATATTCTTTGTACTGAAGTGCACTTTTGCACTAAACACCTCTGCTGATGCCACTCACTCCATTCATTTCGACTAATTGGGGAGGCTTTCGGCAGGTGATACGTTAAATTCTACAATTATCCATACTCGCTCTCAAATCAAATAACTATAGTTATGGTAGTTAACGTAGTAGTATTATATGTATTATAAGATAAAATTCAAATGACTGGTAGTATTTCAGCTAATCAAATTTGTCACTAAGAAATGTTGTGATTTCATCTCAAAAACAACCTTGAATCAATTTATTTGAATACATAATGCTTGAAAATAATGTTTCTTGAATTATCACCGAGAAATTCTGGCTACTCACTGAGAAAATTTTGCAAAATTTATAGGGAAACATTGATGATTGGTATTGTCTACATCCTCCAGTCTTCAAGTGCATGAATGTCCCAACAAAAACCGTTGAGGGCAGTATATACACACAAGAAATATAGAATACAGCTGAAGTGGAACACAAACTATAAATTAAAGTCAACAGTATTTCACACTGTAAACAGTACTATGTATATACACACACAAATTAAAATGACATATGGTTTAGACAGCCTCATAAAATACAAGTCAAACAAGGTCATCCAGTTGTTAGTATCACAACTGCGTTGGAGCCGAATTCAAATTGCACACTACTGAGCATGTTAATGCACTTATACACAATGCATTGTGGGAGATTATGTACAACTTTCGAGAGTCAGTGAAAATCATGAACATTTTCTAGCAGTAAAAGTTTCCTACAAGTCCTTCAACATAGCGTCAGTGAATTTAGCAAAATTTTATCTTCACTTAGCCATGAAATTTTTATATCACAAAAAATTCTATCAGTGAAAAAACAATTATCAGTAACCTTACATTATGTATAATGAAAAATTTATCACCATGGAAATTCGCTGAATCATATGTCAATACTCTTATTTATTTTTTTTCACAATGTTAGGATTCATATCAATAATATTATATTCATATTTTCATTCCATATAATTTTGAGATATGAAGAAATAATTTTGCCATATAAACCAGTGTTATTGCCAATTCCCAGTGACATTACACACTCTAGTATCTCAAATTTTTCTCACATTTTCAGTATTTTGATGTCATGAACCAATAATAATAAAATCATAATAAACATTACATAATCTTCAATTCAGCTCAAACCTCCTTGATTGAATGATTACAACATAACTAAAAATACATCAAAAACACCTTCCAAGGCCATATTTAAATTTACCCATGTTGACAGTTCTCTGCATTATATTATTAAAATATTAAAAACAAGTAATGTGGAATTGTGTTTGAGTTGTAATTTTTTGTTCCGATCACAGTAATTATTAGTCAAACACTATAATTCAGTTACACAAATACCGAAATATGAACAAATTTTGGAAATTTGTTGTGTACATGTATGTACTTGAAACCACACAAGTAGATAGATGATCATAGTAGCAATTTGTCAATTGTTGTTTTACACAGGAATATTGAATTGGCCTCATGCATACATGTATCCATTCTATTTCTGTTTTACTTTTTTTATTGGACGTCTTTTGAACTGTTTTATAGTTTTTTTTTGTGTAATTTTTGTTTAATTGTAAACAATCCTCCTAAAAATAAATTAACATCAAGTCATAAAAAAACAATTTTGAAATACTATATTTACTCTATTAATCTTTCAACCATCAAATGTAGGAATATGATTACTAGTTTGACAATGTAAGGCAATTTGTGCTGTTTTTTGTTCTATATAAATTGTTGTTAACTTGCTGAATGATATAAATTTAAAGCGGCTTTTTCATGCAGTATATTAAATCAAAGACACATTAAGTATGAAACACCATGTTGGTTGTTGGGGTTTTGACATAAGCTAGTTTGAATGATGCATGTGAAATACTGGAAAACGTAAATTAGAAGCGTAATTACCAAAAATTACATTTATTGTATTTTGTCCATAGATACATCTGTTTATGTATTAGTGCATCCACTACCGTAACAGTAAATACAAAAACAAGAGCATTATTCAATTGAAACGAAATACGGAATTTGAGATTATGTCTAAGATAAACTCCTGGTTGTCGAATGCTGACAAAACTGATAATGTACACTAGTACTACCTTTAATAATAATTAGGCACTACCGTATTACATGTACATATAGGTAAGCTAACATCGACAACCTTTTAGCGATTGAACTCTGACAAATGGAAATTACGTAAAGTATACCAGCTAAAAGCTTATTTTAACTTAAGTGATAAGGTGATGACAACAAACACAGGAGAGTGGTTGTGACACCTTCCAGATTCAATTTGATTATTTATGTCGTATAGGTAGTGTGTAATCATACTGCATTAAGATTGTATTCAAAGAAAGTAGGAATGAGCCAGATGAGCACTTCAATTTGTTCCTACAGACAGAAGACTGACACTACTAATGAGGTTAAAGAGATAATATATATGGAATTTTTCCAAAAACATTGTGTTGATACATTTTTATATTTTTCTATTATTTGTTGGTTTTGAACCAAATGAACGTAATTTTGTATTCCCGGGTATAGGTTTATTTTTCAAAAAATTATGAAAGCTGACCTGGAACATCAAAGAGATAAGACAATTCCTTAAAATAAATTAGAATTCCTTAAAATAAATGCGAATTCCATAAAATAAACCCTACATAGTATCCAATGAACAAGTATTTGAAAGACACTATACCGTAAAATATTTTAGCTGGAATTAATTTTCGCTAAAAGACTTTTTGGTATTTTGTAAGGAAATTATTTTAACCTATTTTTGATGAGTTGAATGTTAAAATAGGGTATATTCGCTGGATTTTATTTTCACTGAATCATTCCTTCAGTGAAAATAGCAAAAATTAATTCCAAGTGAAAATAACACATTTTACAGTACTCGTGAAAGAATCTAATATTTGGAACTAATGATTTTATATTTTAATGAGTAATGGTACTGCATCAGAACTAAATACAATCAACAATTGTTTGCCTATCCAACCATTAATTACACATTAGTCTAGAGAAAATAGATCAATGTAGGTGTAAGATTACTTTGATCAAAATAGATATTTTTTGTTTTTGTTTTTAAACCCACATGTTAACCTCTTCAAAATAACCTCTGAACTCATTTGTAACAAGTCATTGTCAATGACACGTCCCCGTTTCGTTCATATTTGAGTGACATATACATTCAAAGCAGATCATGACCGAAATCTCAGACCGTCTGATTCAAAATGCACCTGCATATGTACAATACATTGTATTAAATCTGAACAAAATCCATCCATGTATGACTGAGATCCGGTTCCGGAATTGTGAAAATACGTGATTTTGATGCATTTTCGGCCTTCATTCAGCTATTGTTGAGCGGATCATGAAACAAATGCACATATCTATTTGTGACATGATGTACCATGTGTGTGTGAAGTTTGAACTTGATCAATCCAGACAT